TGACGTTTTCAAAATCATATCCAGTTGCTTGAGTAACTGTTTTTTGGCGTATCGTATTACCTGGATGTCTAACCTTCATCGACGTATTTTTACATCAATTTAATTCTATACAATCTGTACTTAGTATAGGACTGCAAGATAAATGTATGGAAAACATGTCAAACATTACTTGTATGTGACTCCAAACCAGGTCAGTCTGTATAGTTGTAGGCTGGAGGCACTCTGATGATAAGTTTGTCAGCAGTAGCATCCCTTTCTCCTGGTGAATGTTGAAGTCCTCACAAACATGTATGCTGGCTGATGTTGGCTGTGATCTGGTCGTGTCAGATGGCGTAGTGTTAGAGCATTCGACTATGAAGTGGGAAGACCCGGGTTCGATCCCGAGTTGTACCCGGGACATGTCTGGACATGCCCTCTGACGTTGTGCCCTTGGGAAAGGCACTTTACACAACTTTCCTCACTCCACCCAGGTGTGAATGGGTACTTTGGTTGGGGAAAGTCGTATTCAGGTCACCTTGTGGCGCCGAATGGCAGCCACACAGACCCTTGCGAAAGTTCCACAAAAAAAATGTGTTATCATGTGTATTATTTGATTGTTGTGATTTTGATTATCATGTGATACCTTGCATCAATTCAGCCTGGTACTGTTTGGACAATAAAATCCATTTATTGTATCTGGTCATGTTGCTGCAGGGATACAGAGCTGGAGCTGCGGACCAGGCTGCGTGAGGAGGGTCTGACTGCTGCAGGACGGTACGGCTGGCTGGAGGACGGACACGGCCGCAGACAGGGGAAGAAAGTGCCAACAGACACACAGGAGAGGCAGTGTGAGAAATGTGACTACCCTTGCTATCTCTCCATGGTAGGTTTGTCAAAATGGGGTATTATTGGTATAACAGTTGATGGGTTAATTCACTAATATACAAGTTTACCACATTCCATACCAGGACAATATCCACTACAGCTTACATATACACCTACAACCACTCAAGGGGCTGGAATAAGTGCCTGTCAGACACACCCAAAACAATGCCTCCATATTTCAATGAGGTACTAGTAACAAGATTATTGGTGTATGATAACAAAATCTTGACTTTAGATTGGTAAATACTGAAAAAAATTAATGGGAACAATACATATTTGTTATTTCATTTGTTGTCCTATAGTCTCTAACCTAAGATTTCCCACTGATTGTAGTTGTAGGTAGATCTAAACTGATAATCTAAATGTTGTTCTTACAGGTTGTGGAGGAACAGGAGAATGAAGTGTACTGTCTACAACATGCACTGGATTACATTAAAGACAAGAAGTCCTGTCGGGGCCTGAAGTTTATGTACAGATATGATGAGGTGAGTAAAGGGTTCATGTTTCTGACAATGCAAACAGGAGTTCCACCATATCCTACCTTCAGTTCACCAAATGGAAATGATTTAAAACATTGCAGCTGTCTGGCTGAAATAATTTTCACTTACAGGCCTCGAAATTAACTTTTCGTCCCAGCACTGTCCAAAAAATAAATTTCGATTGTCTCGAAGTGAGGATGAAGTGTATGACGTCAACTCGAAGTCAACTTTGTCTTGCTTATGTACACTCCCAGGCACACTATAATTGCAGAGTAGACAAGAAATTCGGGGGGACTTTTCCGGATCCAAAAGCCGGGACGTGTGCCTGATGAAAGAAGGGCTGACATTCTGATGTTGATTTTTTTTCTATTGTCCCAAATATGTCCCAAAGTGTCTTTCTAGTTGTCGCAGCCTAAATCTTAGTGGCCAGTGGCCATTGGACTGCCTTTAATTTCGAGCCCTGACTTACACACACAGATCCACAGATAACTTGAAGTATTACAAATGTACTACATAGTGTCGAAATAACTCAATAACTAAACATCGGAGTGTGGATGATTTGGCCATCGATATACAACATGTCATTTGTCCCTAATCATCAGTCTTAATAAAGCTGGTAGGGGTTATTTTGATATCGAGTGGTGTGGCAAGGTGCAGGGGTCATATTGAGTTTCTTTTTCTTTAATGTTATCATATAATTTGATTTGATTCAGGAACAAATTCAGGACCTGGTGAATAGAATAGAGCTGGTTGTGACCTGCCCTCCAGATGGCCAACGTGTGAAGACTAAAGCAGCCTCCAAGACTCCTGCTGCCACTGCTGCTCATTCTCAACATTGATGTAAAACCCTCCTGGGAGAACCTTACTTGTACCACAAGTCTCTCTGGCTTTAGTCTGTTCCAGCACATTTAATTTGTTGGTTCTTGGATTCGCCTCTTTGTTTTTTCTGATTTGAAAAAAAAAAAAGATTCTAGCTCAATCATCTCAAAAATGCTCATCTTTTGCGCCCAACAGTTGAGGAAAGTCCTTTTCTTCCTACTTGTTACAGTTTTTCCATCTATTCATGCAGCAGTGGTTTGATTGTTCAAAATTCATTGCTTTTTAAATAGGAGCCATGAAGTCAACACAAAAGACTTTTTTAAAATATTAACCCAGCCTTTTGTGTTGACTTCATGGCTCCTATAGTAGAAATTGGGGCTGTAATAGGATGCCCAGACCTGTTTTTATTTTTTATTTTTTGGCCCTGTTGCTTCATATTTGTTTCTGAAAAAATCTGAGAACCAACAAATTAAATTGGTGTGGCCTAAACATAGTTGTATCCAGTGACAGGAATCTGACAGCATCCCTTGACATTTAGATGTATGTAGTTCATGTGGAATGCAGCAATGTGTTTTTCACATCTTTCACATTAAAGATGTGTTACCTACATGTACATGACTTGTACATCTGCTAAGACATTAAAAAAGGACACATAGTTGCCAATATTAATGCAAATTTCCACAAGGTTGTTGACTTTATTTGGATCCACAATTAGCGTACAATCTGTAGCTATCCTTCCTGTTGAATGTTGTCACATTATTGTTTGTGTTAGTTAATTATTGGAAAACATTTCAGGACCAAACGATTATGTAGAATTCTTGACTTCTAGAGGTACTCCTTAGAAATTATGGGTTGTCTTGAATTTGAGAAAAGTGGCAATATTTGTACTCAATGTACTATAATGTAGAAAAATGTATTTTGGTACATGCATTTCTGAAAGTTACTTATAGTTGTCTTAATATTACAGTATGTATGTTAATCACATTCTTCACTCTGGTATGTGTATAATGGATGTATCCAGTCAATGATTTACACATTCATGTATTTTCCAAAATTACTAAAAGGAGTATGATATCTTTATCATATGACATTGTTTGCTATGTTGTATTTAGGCATAATTTGCTTTTTGTGTTTCAGAAAAGGAATTCGCATCATACAATTGATTATCTAATTTGCAAACATGATGTGCATTTTGTAAATGTTAAATGATAATTTCATATAGAAACTTGTTGTTTCATGATACTTTAAGAAACATTTTGTAGCATTAGATTGTTTTATTTATTATATATATATAGATAGATATAACAAACAAGCTTTGTATTTTTTTTTTACTTTTGTATGGGTGCCAATAGTATGATTGATAAAGGTAGCAGTTTGTTGGCAAGGCTACAGTACAGTTTAGAGGACACTTGATGGCTTATGTTGCTGTATAATTAAACTATAACAACGAGGCTTTTTTTTTTAATTCAGAACATGAATATCAGAGAAAGAAATACTACAGATATATTTGGATTACACTAGCCTTAGAAGAAGACAAAGTGTATCATATACAAAATGGTGCTACGCCAAGCACAGTATACAGTTATTCTTATCTTGAAAAGTTCATCTGTGTTGGTAGAAATCATTATGAAGCAAGTTTAAACTGTAATTTCCAACACAACAAAAATGGACTCACCCAAGTTTTCGACTGTACAACTCCAGTCTTTGTCAAGGAATGAGCAATCCACCGCTTCCGTGACGTCACGCAGATAACACACACGTGACTCCGTGAGAAGTGGATCATGGGTTGCAGAAAGTCTGTGGCGCCCCCCGTCTCTGTTGAGGGATGGTTGTAATGCCCTGATGTAGATGGCCTCTTTAATCCCACTGTGTGACGTCACGAAAGCGGTGGATTGTTCATTCCTTGACAAAGACTGGAGTTGTACAGTCGAAAACTTGGGTGAGTCCATTTTTGTTGTGTTGGAAATTACAGTTTAAACTTGCTTCATAATACAGTTATTCTGATATACCTTTTCTAGAACATAATGTCTACTATCTTCTAGCTTAATTCATGTAATGTTAATGCACTAACACGACTCTTGCTCTTTCTTGTTGCTGTGTTATGGTTCTAGTTTTGTTCTATTTTGGTCCAAAAGCCTTTATGCAGGCTCTAAAATAAGGAAGTGCCAATCAACAGTACTACATGTATCTGCTACATACACAACATGTCAAACCTTCTCTTTTTTTTTTCCTTTTCCAGGTATGTCCTAATTTTTGCATGGTTGCCAAAGTCGGTTCCAGGCATCTATATGTTTTTAGGCCACACCAATTTAATTAGTTGTTTCTCCGATTTGCCCTGTCCATTTTTTTCTGATTTGCAACAAGAAAAATTTTGTTCTAAATCAACTGCAAAATGCTCAATGGAAGACATATTTTGGCCCCAACGGTTGGAGAAAGTCCTTTTCGTCCAAGTTATTATTATTTTTCAATGTAACAAGTGCAATTTTTTTCATTAAAAGTTCAAAATCTATTGTTTTAATTATAAACCAGCCTGGTATGTTCACTTCATGGCTCATATTGTAACATTTCCGGCTATCATGGGGTGCCTTGGCCTGTTTTTTTTCTCCCTGTCTCTTCAAATTTTTTTCTGAAAAAATCCAAGAAACAACAAATTATATTGGTGTGGCCTAACAGGTCATTTATCAATAGCTGTTTTGCCTTTCTGGATGATGATGCACAAACAACCCATAAACTGGAACTATGCCCAGGCTGCAATGTGGAAAAAGCTTCAGAAATGTTTTCAATTTTACTTTTCACTGAACATACATGATTGTATAGCATGTATGTATGCAGCATACAATGTAGTTCAACCCCTCAGGGTGTTTGTATATGTATGTTACCGCAAAAGCCATGCTGGTTGGCTCAACATGGAAAAGTCAGAAAATAGATGTGAAATTCAATGGCTACATATAATTTACCTGGCAACTTCAAGTGTTCTCCACCCAGCATGTTGAAAAATAAGTCCACATTTCTACTTCCACCAGATGAGTGGCACACTAGTCCAGAGTATCAACATGTACATTTATGAAAGTCCATCTGTGTTGGTAGTTACATGTTTAGAGTTAAAACTTTTGGTCCAACACAAAAAAAAGTTCTCTCACCTAGAGCTTCGACCAGTCACCTTTGACCCAGTGTTGACGTCACACTTCAAAGAAGCCACGTGACAAGCTTCACTGGGTGAGTCTACTGAGGAAGACCAGAGTGGCTGGTCGAAAGCTCTAGGTGTGAGAACTTTTTTGTGTTGGACCAAAAGTTTAAACTCTAAACATACATGTACATTTGTACACAGGACAGTCACAACAGAGCTTCACCTCTGACAATGGGTTTGCGCATTTATGATTTACATCAAGGCACTCAAGATAATCATGATGTTGCAGTACACTTGTTTAGACTTTGTATTATTAGGCACCCTGTATGCTGTTTACTAAAGTTGATTGAATGAAAGATGTGCAAGTAAGTGTTAAGCCAATTCCTGTTATGTTCATGTTAGATATTTTAGGTAATACAATGTAACTCTCCTTTCTGAACTGTTTGTTACAGATTTCTGTTACACTAAGTACATGTACCTATGCAAAATGTGGATGATAAGTTTGCCCACCTTGTTTGGACAAAATATGTTATTAATAAATGGGTTATTTACCTTTGTCAAGAAGATCATGTTTTTGGTAGTGTTCGTGTTCATGACCATTGACTAACCACCACTAGAGGTATCAGGACAGCCAATCATACGACATGAAACAAGTTTAAACTAATTTCCAACACAACAAATTAGACTCACCCAAAATTGATATGTGTGTGGGCGACCATACATTGAATAAACATTCTACTCTATAGGATAATTTGCACATTCTATTCACAAAATTGTGACGACAATCGGTTATAGGAATGAAATGAAATAAGTGATTTCTTTTTAAAGAATTCACGAAATCTTGCCATTACTTTAGACTTCCTCGTGGCGTTAAGCCCCCCCCCCCATACGTTGACGACAAAATACATGGTTTGGCCTATAACAATACACTTGAGCATGCCTGCATTAATTTCTTTCTTTTCTTTATTTAGCCACAAAGTTACATGGACATGTCACCACTATGGCAGTTTGCAATGCGCCGCTAGGCCTACAAGCAATTCAAATGATATATGGATATATATATTTACTTCAAATACAATCTGGAGTGAAAAGAGACTACAAATCAATGTTGGTCCCTCATGTACTCAATACCTGTAACTGTATAATTATTTAGGTACAGCAAAAAAAAAAACAGTTACTCAAGCAACTGGATTAATGCTTATGGCAATGGTGAAAAAAGTATTTAAAGTATTATCCACTACCTTTTGTTACTTACACTTTTTGGCGTATCTTACAAAATGTACAAGACGTCGGTCTGCCCACTGCTACACTTTGTTGACATACATTGTATTACACAACGTAATTTTCCGCTAGAAATAACGATAGAATAGCAATAAAAGATAACACAGTCGACACATGGATAAACCACAAAGTTATTTTACGAATCACATGTCCACTTGCCTCTGGTGCTGTTATTTTTCAAGGGGCAACATCGCAACACATTAGCGGACGCCCCAGGAGGTGGCAAATTGCTATTGTCTTGTCGGCGCGCAAAACAAACATGAAATCCGACCCTATCACATTAACGCAAACGGTAACGCGAAAATCTAACCAAATACTGACGAAAATCTAACCAAATACTAACGAAAATCTAACTCGTTAGTAACGGGGTACCCGGTTAACTATAACGCGAACGGTACTGTATTACCTGGATGTCTAACCTTCACTGACTTTTTTAGGTACAGGTCTGGACCTGAACATCTGGAGCACCATTTTGTGCACTAAGATTGGTAAATTTCATCTCAAAGACAACAATTTTGACAATGTACGCGTTACAATGAAAGAATGAGGCTTCCCGCGTCCAGCCCGTGCGGGCTTACATGTATACGACACCATTTGATAGTACAATGTGTATGGTACATAAACAAAAGGGAATCAGTCGTGCAGAGATAACAAAATCAATCATAAAGTGAACACAAATTAAGGCTTCAAGGAAGCACCATGTGGCGTGGGAAGATAGTTACAGTGTAGGCAAATGGGCCAGTCAGCACCAACTCTCCACATGGTCCCATAGCGACAGCCCACGGGTATGAAATGCTCGCGATGGTGCGGACAAACTCGCCCTGGCTTGTGAACATGTCTACCCGGTGGTTCAAATAGTTCGCCACAATGATGTGACCAGAGGTGTCCAGACAAATACCTTTAGGAGAGTTCAGTTGCCCCTCCCCCCTTCCATAGGTGCCGAATTCAAATATCTTTACTCCGGAGGGATTGTACTTCTGGATGGTTTTAGACCCATCCGTCAGCAGGATATTTCCCTCCTTGTCCGATGTGACTCCCCCGATCCCGTATACCGGACGCACTTCTGAACTCCAAAGGCGAGATCCGTTTGGATCAAACATCATAATGGTTGTTTGGTCTCCCACGATAACTTTATTGTTGCGCACGTCCATCGCGATGACGGGATAGCGGCTCTTGAGGCTTACGTCAAACTTTTTGATGGGCTGTCCGTTCTTACTGTACTGTACGACATGTCCTTCACCGTATTGCCATGTCCCCAGTACCCACAGATAGCCAGGCCCCACGTCGCTAGCAACACCATAAGGGCGCATTCTCTTACTTTCACCCGGCACGACGGTTGAAAAGAGCCGCAGAAAGGTCCCATTTATACTGAAGACCTGGACTCGTTTGTGGTCGCTGGCATCAGTCACAAATATCTCATTGTCAGCAGACACGGCAACTCCGTTGTATGTTCCCCTCCCACCAAACGTTATCTTCTTTTGCTTTACGTCACAACCTTTTGCCATGAGTGATAAAAAAGAATATTTCAAACTAAAATTTAAACCATTTACATTTACACACGCCACGCACGCGCACACACTCACGCAAACACACACACACACACACACACACACACACACACACACACACACACATACACACACACACATGGGCCCTGATGCATATAGCTACTTTTACTCACCATAAGAAATAATCTTGTTAATTGTCCAATACAATATCCTAGCATTGCCTCAAGGCATTGTCTCCAGAGAAGCAAAGTCTTTAAGACATTGTCTAATGACACAGAGGGACCAAGTTTAACACATTGTGTGTCTAATGGCACAGAGGGACCAAGGTTAACACATTGTCTCTGGAATATTTGTGTTTTTAGACTCACCTTTGTGATGTGGGGTGTTGGAGACTGTCGGGAGCTTGAGGATAGATCCAGCAGTAGCAACAGCAGCAGCAGTAGTAGCAGCAGTAGTAGTAGTAGTGGTGGTAGTAGTACTAGCAGTAGTAGTAGTAGTAGTAGTAACAGCAGCAGTGGTAGTATTTGTAGTTGTATCCGTGGCCGCTGTCTGCTGTTAATAGAGGATTACATTGTAATTGCAGGCTATCGCAATTGGTTCTTGGAGATCATGATAAATTTTCTGAACCCTGTCTGAATTTGATAGCTACAGGCCGATGTCAACGTATTATGCACCAAATTGTATTGGAATAAGTACAATAAGGAATAATTGTCTACTTCAAAAGTATCCTGGAATTGGTACCCCACCGACTAAGCAACAATACGAAAAGGTTAAGCTTTGTGTGTATAAAGCATCTGTTTGTTGTTTTGTGACTTTTTGGCGACGCCTCAGTTTTTTCCACAGGCATGGAATGTCTACATTCCTGGGTTCGTTCACTATACACTCAGGGGAGGGGAGGAGTTATTTACTGAACTGCGCTATACCTGTATAGACCTAACAGGTTACAAGGTACATGTACAAAATGTATACTGCCAATGATGCCAATTACCCGTATAAAGTATACGGGTAATGTAAAGGGATGGTTATCTCAGGAAATGATTAACTAATCGACAAGGCTATAATAAGACAGAAGCGTACCTGTGGCGGCCTGGCGCTTAAAAATAAGCTGAGAAAGACTCCTGCGACGATGAACAACCCAAGAACGACAGCCGCTTCTACTGCAAAGATCACTCGGCGACGCGTACAGCCTGAAATATTATCATGTTGGTAGTAATCACAGTGAAATGTTGGAACTTTATTCCAACAACAATTAGTACATACAGATCAAGTTTTCAACTGTCGCCTTCATCGGGATAATTACTGGCTAATCACGTGAAATATTGCAGATAACAGCAGATCTATTGAAAATACATGTAACGATTTGTATTTTAGGGCGTGTGTCCACAAGGGAAAATGACTCAGCATGCGTGTAATACAGAAAAGAGACATTGCCAATGACAATGAAATATGCCAAGATTTCTCTCCAGCAAGACGTTTATGAAGTTGATAAAGTTCGTACCGTGCGCCGCAGGATGCTGGACGTTTGGCACGTACATCAGATTCGGATTGCGTGCGTGTAGGACATCATTGGCGTCATTGATGTTGTTGAAAGCCGCCGCTGGTTGACTCTGGGAGGACAGGCTTGCTTGAGTGTCTTCTGAACCGTTGTTAGTCGCTGGCCTGGAGAAGGCTTGCTGATGTGTATCAGCTGATGTCTGGGTGCAGGGATTGTTTTCACTTTTATTTGACTTGAAGGTGGGCCCAGGGCTGCTTTGCAGGTACATCGGGTTGGAGTTAACGTCGTTTCTGGAGTGCGTCGGATAAGGGTTCGAAGCGTTATGTGTGTACATCGGGTTTGGATTCCTGGCGGGTCCAGGGCTGGCGATAGGCTCCATGGTGCTTTGCAGGTACATCGGATTCGGGTTAATGCCGCTTTCTGAGTACGTCGGTTGAGGGTTCATGTTTTGTGTGTACATCGGGTTTGGACTACTGGCGGACCCAGGACCAGGGCTGGCGATTAGCTCCGTGGTGCTTTGCAGGTACATCGGATTCGGGTTAACGTCGCTTTCGGCGTCCATCGGTTGAGGGTTCTATGTTTTGTGTGTACATCGGGTTCGGATCCCTGGCTTGTGTGTGCTTGTTGCTGTCATTTGCCTTGAAAGCTGAAGCTTCAGTGTCATTATTGAATGAGCCACGTCTTGCCAGGTGGATGTCGTCATCGTTGCTGTTGTCGGGCGCCGTTTTAGCTGCCTTTAGTTGTTTTTCGTCTCTACCGCAGCTTTCGTTATGCGAATAGTCTGTTCTTTGCATATGTATGCAATGGCGTATGTATGAAACTCATCGCCAGTGCCGATATCGATTGTCTGACTGTTCTCAGCAGCAGCATCGCTTGTGTCGGACAGATTTTCATCGTCATTGTCTTTATTTCCCTCACATCGACCAGAGATGTGGTGACTGGCACCTTCAGCAGCTTGCCTGAACGTGGATGGCACAGTTCCTGTGTCTGGTTTTGCCATACCTTCGCAGAAGAACTCGTTTCTGACGACGATTGCTTTTGGTACGGTGTTGGATGGCATATTTTCAGCCATGGCTCCGAGATCTCTTCCTTTGTTTAATTTTACATAGTAATAAGACGAAAACAAAGTGATCATGCATTCAAATTGTAAAACTTACTTCAACAGCGCCACATAACATAAATATGAATAATTACGAACATGATAACAATGCTGCATTCTGCCTTGATGTTCTACGTTGAAATGCAGCGATGGTAATGATCATGTTTAGTCTTTGCTTATTACTATAATTTGATTATCAGAACACAGCACATTTTAACAATTCTTATCCTCAATCATGTGTCGCTATGTGCACTGTAAACACCACTGCAAAAAAGACAGACAAAAACAAAACATCTTTATGTAGATGAAGCAACCCACGAGTCGTCTTCTGATACCAGACAATTCATGTCAGTGCTGAGATCATGAATTTGAACTACGTGTTGTCCTGACTGGGGTTGTTTTTTTTTTTACATTTTTGCTTTTACTTGAAGTTGTTTAGCGGTTCCTCATATAGTGATATATTACATGTTTCTTGGCTAACTTGATGTCATAAATGTTCAGTTATTCCTTTATGGTTGAAATATAGGATTGTCTAAACAGTAACTCATTATCAGTACGTATACGTGAGGCACGTGTTGTTCCAGCTGAGGTTGTAGCTGACATGTTGGTTTTCGTGACCCGAAGTTGTTTTTAGCGGTTCCCCCCATATACGCTTTAGCCTGGGTACCATCCCCAGTAGTATATTCGCAAACTCTATAACTGGTTATAGAGTTTGCGAATATACTACTGGGGATGGTACCCAGGCTATATACGCTTACCTATATGTAACATGATTGGCTAACTTAAGGTTTATCTTCATAGATTTCAATTCTTTCTTTGTGAGGAGAATATAGATAAGCCTCAACAGTTACATTACCATGTTTAGTAGTGTCGTGTTTAAATTACAACACACTGTTAGTTCATAACAGCTGGAGTCATAATGAAAATTACATATTACATTCTATTACCAAACCTATCAACACATTAACATTGCCTACACCTTGGAGTGCTACTGTAAGGTGATATGGAGAAGAAAGATTAAGAAATTCTGTACTTACAGTAGGGCTTCTGCGAGCGATTTGTCTTCAGAGAGAACCGACCACAATAGTGAAATAGAGACTCATTGCAGTGAGATAATATAAATATTGAATAAACATATCTCATAGACGTCAAAAATTCCCCCGCAAAGGTGTCTTGTCTGGTATTGTATAGAAACAACAGGGTGTTGAAGTATATGAATTTGATGTGTTTTTATTCAAATTGAGACATGTCAAATCCTTCTCCTAGATTATTGAAGCAATATAGGTTCAACAATAAGAGAAAGATCCAACAGAAAAGGTATTTGCAATCAAACTTAGCAGACTATTAGTGTATTAGTACTTCTTCGGCCAGATGATATCATTCTACAGACAGATATACACTATTAACTCTTCTATTCCTTTTTATATGTACTCTAATATATCTGCATTATTACATTATAGCAGCTAAGTAACTGTAGTACACCAAAATGTGAGGAATAAAGCTACAGCAGTGGAGAAAAAGGATTCAGAAATTCTGTACTTACGGAGAGGCTTCTGCGAGCGATTTGACTGTCTGCAGGGCGGACCGACCTCAACAGCAAAATAGAGACTCAGTGCAGGGAGATGATGTAACTATTGAATAATAATATCCCATAGACAAAACGCCCCCACAACGGAGTCTTAGTACCTTCGACAAGAAGGTTATGTTTTCAGTAGCGTCTGTCCGTCTGTCTGTTTGTTTGTTTGTTTGTTTGTTTGTTTGTTTGTTTGTGAACAGCATAAGTCAAGAAGCTTTATATGCGTCGTCATGAAACTTTGTAGATGGGTAGGTCTTGATGAGACCTAGAAATTATTAGACTTTGGCCCCCTGGCGGCTTTTGTTGGTACTGCAAGAGAACTTTCGGTTTTGATATCTCATGATCTGGACATGCTAGGATCATGAATTTTGAATCATGAATTATGGTAGAATGCTCTTGGGCTAGGGAGGAAGTGACGTGAGTTTGGGCCTGAGATATCAAAACCTTCTTCTCCACTGATGTAGCTTTATCGGCTTGTTCTGGAACTGCAGGAGCGTTTGTTGAAAAATCTTCGAAGGAGGATAACTCAAGAACCGGCTGAAAAACGAGATTTATTTTGATCAGCAGAACAACCTCTCAACCGCGCGAGAAACTCACGCCTTATTAAATCTTTTAGATACCTTCGTTAAGCCCATAATTCTCTATGGGTCGGAAATCTGGGGTTCTATCAAAAGTTCTAAGTCATATCCTATTGAATCAATCCACCTGAAGTTCTGCAAACAAACTCTACATGTACCCAGATCGGCGTGCGGCCTCGCTGCAAGAGCGGAACTAGGGAGGTTTCCCATTCAGGTGCAAGCCTCCCTAAACGCTATCAAACACTTTATCAGAATTCGCCAGAAAGTATCAGCAGACAGTTATCTATTAAATGCTCTTTATTGTCAAATAGAACTAGACAAAGCTGGTGCCAAATGTTGGGCATCAGGAGTTCGGAGGTCCCTGGAGGAGTGCGGTTTTGGCTATATATGGCATTGTCCCCTATCACCCAACACAAATACTTCTCTAATTATTAATTCAATTAACCAACGTTTGAAAGACATCTGCCTTCAAAGTTTTTCACAAGAAATTTTTAATGATAACAAAGTGGGGGCCGCCAAAAACAAGCTGAGGTCCTACAGACTGTTCAAATCCACCTATACTGAAGAAAAGTATCTGAATATTGATAATCTACGGCACAAAACTGCCGTCTCATCAAAACTCCGAATCAGTTGCCACAAACTACACATCAAAACCGGTAGACATAACCGCACTCCCCTAGAACAACGAATATGTCGGTACTGTGATCTAGGAAGAATAGTTTTTATTGCCTGTCTTGTTGTTACCTGGGGAGGAAGGTTCTGCGTTGGGTCCCGTTTTGTTTGGCTGCTATACCTCACGGTGCTTTTGACCGATTGGTCTGAATTTCGGTAGATGATTAGTTATTGATTGAGGGGGGGGGGGAGGGGTGTGAGAGAGAGAGAGAGAGAGACCAAAAACAATACCTTAAATGTAGGTAATAAAATGAATCCAGCAGGAAATGTCATACCACCTTTGTCTATGTATAATACACACAAAGTAAAAGCCTCTGGATCTTTCAAACAACCCAAGCTATCACAGAGGCCGATCCCAGATCGATCCTATATATAACAGCCTCATGCGGTATTTATAAGTCGGCACGGTGTACCGAGTTCCGAACTTCCGTGGAGGCTTATGAGCAGGTGATTGTTTTTGGAACAGGCGAAAATTAACGAGCGCGCGCAGATGCCATCCATAAAATCGAGTCAGTGTGGCCTTATTGCGCTAGACGTGTACTCTCCAAGCAGAGGTTGATGGTGGAAGATCGTTTGCTTTTTATATAAGATTAAGAAAGAAAGTTTATTGCAAATACTTGCCCGAGGGCTAATTGCAGTTACAAACAACATAAGAAAGAAAATACAGTGGTATGTGAGACTATATCTACGTCTACCATTATACTATATTCTACAACATACATGGTACTAGTTTTACTGGGTTTGACTTCTTCTTTTTAGGCAATGGAAGACGAATTTACCCACTTCTTCTATAATATGTGGGTTCTTTGATTTTAGTAGTAAAATTGTTTTTTTTGTGATAGGGAATGGTGGGGAAGTAGGGGAGCATTTTGGACACGGTGGTAAATCATTGTTTTCTATGGCCCTTTTTTTTTGTCGCTACCGCCTAGACGCAGTCTCCAGATGCTGGGTGTCACATGTACCAGTTCATGACGGTTGACTTCCTAGAATTTTTTTTTATATTCCGAAACATGCAATCACAAGACGTGGTGACGGCACACTCAAGTTTTTTCAACTTATATTAATGCCGCCACCAACACAGGGACAGTACAATACTCATTTACACCTGAGCGAAGTGAGGAAAGTCGTGTAAAGTGCCTTTCTTAGATTTTGATCCTTGGTGACTTATTTATACATATACAACACCCACAGAAAACGTAATGATACACATGTCTGTCCTGCTAGTACAGTTTTTTTATTGCAGATATGGATACGGAACTCCTAATTCCAACAGAATGGAAATAGAAGAAAACGTGTTTCAGGTGTATCTGTATCTGTATATAGCCGGTGATGTTACAATCTGTTTTAATATCATAATACTAGGATACAAAACATACTTATCTAACATGCCTAACACAGTTAGAAACATAAATACTACAATGAACATTGATAGCAAAGTATGTAGTCTGGAGGACATGGTGTGAGGGAAAGAAAGATGTGAATGGTCTATCACTAGTCCACATATTTAGAGAGGAGGTAAAATATTTTTTCAACCAGGAGTTGGACAACTGATGTAATGATGCTTATGTTTTTAAATATTTTCTCACTGTACCGTATGTTTTAGATATTTTCTCACTGTACCGTATGTTTTAGATATTTTCTCACTGTACCGTATGTAAGTGTCTTTTGCAAGAGATGTATGTATTCATTGTAATAAAGAAATAAAAAAAATCTGTATAGCCGGTATAACCTCCCTTCCGCGTAACACGTCAGCTATATGGGTATGGAATGAAGGATATCTTGCACATGTTGTAGAAAACTGTAAGCCATAGAAACCCCTTTTGATGCCTCCTTCACAGTTGACCAGTAAAGACCAGCCGCTGGCACTGACACTGCACTGTTCATCCAACTAGATATTGATCATATGGTAGTGCTATTAAAGGCCATCAACGTTCCGTACGAGTAGGGAATTGCCGGGCAGGTTTGTACATGTACGTAGGGAGTTAACACTCTGTATAACGATTGTATTTTTGTTATTGACTCTATCGCCTAATGAGCCGCTCCAAATGATTTCTGTGAATGATGAAATACTTACGTATCAATGAGGTTAAAGGGGCCTCCTTGATTGTATATAATGACAATGACTTTATATAAATATAAACTTTATATAGATATAAAGTCAACCCACCTAATAGCATGGAAAGAATAGTGTAATAGAATAGAATAGACTAGAATAGCAGTTACCTTGTTCCTATTACCTGTTCATATATTGCATATCTACTACGTTATTACATTTAAATAGAGATAGTAGGTTTGATAAGTATATCGTACACGTAGAACTTCATGTTAGTCACATAGTCTTATATCACCACATTTTTCTTGTCAATGTCTGTTTGCAATTAGCCCTCGGGCATGAATTTGCAATAAACAACTCTACTAAATGTCGAGAATCATGTGTTGCGGGGGGGGGGCAATATTGTTATATCCATTTCCAGCCACACGTGTAGGCAGGTCCCGCCACTGTCGTAAACCCATGGTATGACTGTAAATCAATCAAAGGTATCGGGCATGAAAGCAGGCCGACAGCCAACCGATGTTTCGCTTATTGTCAATCAATCAATCTTTATTCAAACAACTGGCAGACGAGAGTCTGAATTGAGTTGTTCTTACAGACATCATAAAATGATCTAAAATTATACGATAAACTATACCAATGGTTTAAAATTACATAATTTACACGATAATAACACAAACTCGTAAGAGAGCTATATATAATGCCTCTTCACACAACAAGTAGGGGTAACGGTCAATGCGACAAGGCTATAGATGGGCTCGGTTTCATACACTTAAATGATGTGAGAGCAGATACTGAATTTATCATAGTTATAAGTTATTTATTGTACAAATGTCAACCAATGGTTCCAGCATTGGCTAAAGTTATGCTTTGTATTCGTTGTAAGTAAGAATATTGCAGCAAATGTTCAAAACTTAAAGCGAACTTTCTACATGGGAAGCCCCTGTGCAGAGTCCAGCGTCAAATGTTCCTACGATCGGCCAAAGTAGCGAGTTCTTTCTGGGGTTCAAGAAATCTGCGAAAGAGGCTACAACATGGGTGTGAAAATGTGTTCCAGCAAGCGTGTGGGTTTTTATGTGAGACCCTTTCAGAGACCGAGCCTCTTAGGCTAATTGTCTAACTGGGTGCCAAAAACACCCTACGGATTTGGTGCGCCAATGTGTCAACATCAGCACATTTGCGATCAAGAGTCGTTAATTTTGTTTCCGGAGATTGTATATGCATTTTATTGCACAACTAGAGTTCGTGGAAAACATGCTTTCGTCAGGTGTAGATATTTACCTTCGCCAAGAAGTTATGGTTTCGTTGGCGTTCTCGTGTCTGTGTGTGTGTCCCTACTTTTACAATCCTGTAGAATAGGCAGTAGGTTTTAGGTAGTTGTCTGGTAGCCGAGGTTCTCTAAGCAGATATTAGGTGGCATAATGGTTGCGTGTATCTTTTGGGATTGTGGTTTGCACCTACTGCGATACCTTGTCAAATGAATAATATGTAGCAAATGAAAGATATTGTTATGAAAGCTGACTTTGTTAATCTATTTAGCTTGTCGTGTTGTTGATTTTATGTAGCCTGTGTTTACACTAGTCAGTTTGCAACTGTTTCCCCAAGGGGGGCGGCAAACTGCTGGGCAGGTGGCCACCAGGAGCGCGATTTTTTTAGTCAGGCTAGATTATTAGACCAGGGATTTAGCCATTTTTACGATACGTTGTTATACCAGTTGTTAAGTGATCATACACTGTTTACATACACTATTACTGTTCTCAATCTGCAAAATATAAAACTTCACAGAGAATTGTCGCCTATGGACACTTGTTTTATTTGTTTTGGCTGAAGGTACAGCTAACGCTCATCTCCAACGAGGGGGAACGTTGGATACAGGTGGCTAACATAAAGTCCCCTTGCCCCACCGTATCTGCTTGGAGATTACTAAGGCTCCTCAACTAGGGTCAACTTACTCTCCAAGCAGAGGTTGATGGTGGAATATCGTTTGCTTTTTATATACGGTCCGTGTTTTTTTTTTGCCAAAACAAAAACCGGGCCATGTATAAAAGATAAAAAGCAAACGATCTTCCACCATCAACCTCTGCTTGGAGAGTAGTGTCAGCTGGCCAACTGGCACGCTGTACCTGAGGCTATGTTAAATGTCGTGAAGACGGGGGTTCGTCAGGCCCCGGTCTGGGATCAATAAGGCCACACCAATTTAATTTGTTGCTTCTCGGATTGCCCTGTCCATTTTTGTTCCAATTTGCCAAGAAAAACATTCTTGGTTCTAAATTAACTGCAAAATGCTCAATGAAAGACATATTTTGTCCCCAATTGTTGAAAAAAAGTCCTTTTCTTCCTAGTAACAATGCAATTTTTTCATTAAAAGTTCAAAATCTATTGTTTTAATTATAAACCAGCCTGGTATGTTAGCCTGAATGTCAGCCTTGTTAGCTTTCGTCCGCTCCCCAAGATCCGGCGGGGAGCGGACGAAAGCTAACAAGACTGACACTCAGGCTACTGGTATGTTCACTTCATGGCTCACATTTCCGGCTATCATGGGGTGCCTTGGCCTGTTTTTTTTTTCGCCCTGTCGCTCCTGATTTTTTTCTGGAAAAATCAGAGAAACAACAAATTAAATTGGTGTGGCCTAAAATAGTTTTTACCAGCCTTTCACCACCCTCGACACGCTCGGTTTTAATACCATTCACCAAAGTTACCTTTACTGTGAGTGAAGGCTTAGGCTTACTGCAGATTTACACTTTGCGTGGTAGAATAAGATGGTGCTCTGCAGTCACGTGTCTGTAGGTGACGTAAGACTTCTGGAGAGCCTCACCAATACCAGGAGGAGGAGACAGCCCGCCCCCGCTGTCCCTCCTGCGGCATCGATCGGGCACGGCTGCGGCGGAATGACTGCTCACAGAACAACATCGGCGCAGCTGCGATATACATTGCTGGATTGACGGGTAGGTGCCTTTATCGTTCAAACTGTCAGCGTAATGTTTCATCAAACCCCGTTCATCCTTGCCTGTACTTTACAAACGTGCCGGTATTTACGTGTTTGTTGTTGGAGGACGTTTTCGCTTGACGTTTTCCCGTTTCCGGGAATCCGGAAATCAGTGCCTGGCCATGCGTGCACGGGGCAATCTGCTGTGTTGTGGCGTACCTAAAATACGATCCTCAAGAGCTGCACGTAGCTCTATTAATCAGCACCTTTATGAATAACCTGGACAGTGTCTCCCTCAGAATTTCACGATGTCCTGTACCATGCGTTCATGGCCACGTACTAGATCTAGAGCAGGGCGCCAGGCTGCACCCAAGGGCTGCACCGTTATACACCGGACAGGTATATAGGCCGTTATACCGCCAGTATCGATCAGGGTTTAGATGGAATATCGGATTTTACGTCAGACCTGCTGGCCCGTCAGAGGCCGGGTGCCTATCACCCTGCAGGGTGTGGTGGACAGGGCAGACAGCCAATCCCCCATGACCCCAGCAGAGTTCATCTCCTGAGATTAACGTCCCCATCTTTCAATAATTTATAACAAATGTGAGTCCTCATACAAATGTACAATAATTACACAAACACTATCTGCCACACACACACACACACACACACACACACACACACACACACACACACACACACACACACACACACACACACACACACACATACACATATACACTCTCTCTCTGACAGTCACACTTCTGCATATCGCCATTGAGTTGTGCACAAACATTTCTGCCATACGCACGGTCACTGTTACGCACATGTAGCGTATAAATAACGAATTCAGCGCAGCGATTGGGTATGAGATCCATATGGTTTTCATATGCATTGTGCAGGCCAAGCGTATTCCAGGTGCACTCAATGCCTAACGCACTTCTGACGAATGCCAAACGTACTGCGGCGTATTCTCTGCTGCTTCCTACCGTTTTCATTCGCAGTGGGTCCTTCTCATCATGGATTGCTCTCAACTCAATTAAAAATATGTTTGTTTCCATCTTGCCACACGCTGAAGATTTTGACCATACAGTAAATTGTACAAAATGATCGAATATATGTTGTATGTTGCAAAAGTATTGGAAAAGGATACTAATTTCATAGAATACATCGAAATCAATTCAGGGAAAGAAGAAAATGTGAAGAAATGTAAATCAAGAGTCTATTATTATTTGTCATACCATACTCTGTGCTTAATGTTAGTCATTTGTTCAACCTTTATAGAGTAGAGTAGAGTAGCGTAGATTTCATAATGAAGGAAATTTTTTTTTTTTGTTTAACTTTTTTTTATTCGTAAGCTCTCAGGCCCAGGGGTTCTCAGAGGATGTCATCCATATAATCAAATCAACATGGATTAATTTGAAAAGGATGAAAGCACCCATACTTGCAATTACAAACAATTTACAATTACATGTATGCATACACACACTCTTAGAGACTCTGAGAGAGTGCTTAGAATTATGGCATTCATTAATTTTTGATGTTCACGTATTTACAAGATTAACCATTATTCAAAGTGGCTACTGTCATAAGTCCACCATGATCTTAAGATGTTTTAGGACATTGAGTTTATATGCACCCATATTCCTACATGTATTTATAAGCTATTTTGTACTGATCTACTTACAGTAGAATACACAATTTCTCAAACAAACAAAAAACAACAAAAAAACAGGCAACTGGCTTATTATCCCAAAGTACAAACAACAAAAGACACATATTTTGTGTTATATGTAGATATATTATTGGTAATATGCAAAATGGATACACCAAAAACAATACCTCCATTTTTCATGGAGGTAACAAGATTTTTGAGTTAAGGTATCAGAGGTTTCCGAATTCTTGTTGTAGTTTGCGGTTGGACTTCTACTCAATCACTCCTGTTTACAGAACAAACTGTAGCCTTGGTGCTGTACATGTAGTTAACTAATTTGGGTAGCTTCCATGGCAGGCTCTGTGGCAGGGGCTATTCTTTTTACATTTTTGTCTTCGTCAGAAGGACTATGAAATTGTCTCGCCGGAGTGTGGGGAACTGCGGATTTTGCGTTATAACTCTGGAAGGCATGATTCGACGTCCATGATTTTTGGCAGGCAGATTACCGCTGTTGAGGCCAAAGTCAAGTACAAGTTTCGGCTTCGTGGGGGGTCCGTGCGTCACGTTAGTGCACCTTTTGTGTTTGTGGCTTGTTAGCAAGATAACTCAAGTATTTGTAAAATGTTGATTATAATTCTTGGTGTGGTGCTTACTATTATTGGGACCAAGGTTAAGTTCGTTACTGAACTTCGTGGGGGGTTTCGTTGTGACTACAGGGGGCATTTTGTTAATTTTTCTTGTGAGCAGGATAACTTTTGTATGTTTGGATGGAAGTTAATGAAATTTGATAGGCATGTTACTGTCGTGGTCTCCAAGATTGAGTTCAAAGATGAGAGTCGTGGAGGTCGTTATGTCCCCGTAATAGGACCTTTTGTGTTTAGAAACCCCCCACCTACATCTGCTTGGAGACAGCCGACAGCTGGATATAGCCGGGGAACCCCATAATGGGATGGGATCAAATGACGTTACATTGAGGGATTGTACTATAACTTCAGCAGGGGGAGGATAGGTTGGACATATGTCAGGTTATTTTCTACGGCCACACCAAGTAATTGCTATGGATGACGTCCACTGGAGACCTTAAATCTAATTACCTTAAATCTAAGGCAAGCGCGCAATAAAAACACGAAGGGCCGAAAAACGAGATGCCTAGATTTGGAATATACTAACTGTAGAAGTACAAATGTTAGGACACAAAGAACACAAGAAACAAGTCTTCTATTTGTCATAAAGACAAATTAACAAAACAGCAGTAGTCACCCTGTTCTGATTCTTTCCTTTATAACATCTTCTCTTATTATATTTTGCGGCACTGTCGTGACACTTTCAACACAGTAAGAATTTCTTGAACGTTTTTTTCCAGTAACAGTCCAAACTAAAATAACGTAGGGGAGGGGGGGGTGCTAACACGGGTGACGACGCATCTGTATAATCTGCGGCAAACCGTTTCAGGGTGCTCTGTATTATAAAAATAGTACAGAGATTTTTTTTGTTCTTTAGACCAAATTGATTATTAAAAAGAGTGAAGAATACGCATGTTAATTTCTCTAGAACGATGTACCTCTGACGAAGACATGAGATCTCCGACCTCTAGTGTTATGATTGTGTAGCCTCTATCAGGCTTCAGAAAGTGACAGCAGCACAGCAAACCAACTCCCCTGGTATGTTATCTGTCTACGTGCCAATTTCTACTCTTTCCAGCTGTTTTTCAAAGCCTGGTAGAGGCTAAGTTACCTTCACCAAGATGTTTTCAGGCAATTCAGGGGCATTCGTGTGTCTGTGTGCTTGTGTGTGTGTTTGTGTGTTTGTGAACACGATAACTCAAGAAGGCCTTGATGGATTGTCTTGATAATTGGTAGGCCTTGTTAAGACCTCAAAGTGATTAGATTTTGGGCAGCAGCAGATAGAACTTCCAGTTTTGATATCTCGTTTGCCGTACCAAAATTGCATTGTTTTCATATATCTTATCAAAGTACATAAATTTTCGTTAACTTCCCATGATAATTAAGCTGTCATTTTCTGGTTATCATTATAATTAAGAAGATTTCCTGCAGAAATAAGATAGGTTTGGCTGAAAAAACAGTTCATTGATTTTTCGACCATAAAAATCACTATTTTGTAGATTTCAATGAGAATGAGCCTATTATCATTTTTCAAGGTAAACGTTCAGAACTTATCCCAACATGGTAGAATCAGAAAACCATTACTGTATATGGTGCAATAAAGATATGATTTGACTCTTGCACCTGCTGTGGAGGCCAGGATTGGTTATGTTATGGTTGGCCACACTGCCATGTGACCTATATAGGTGTGGGTTGAATAATTGCCTTCTGCATTATTAAAACAGAGTACACATCCCAGATATCCCACATATGCACTACTGGGACTGTGAGCCACTGAGTGAGATGTGGGATTTTTGTTACAAGAATAGCATTTTATAACAAACTAGAGTTCCATGGGGGCCTGCATGGGGGGGTCCTGACAACGCTCTCCGATAAATTTTGGGAGCTCTCGATTACGCTTTACGATAGATTCCAAGTGGCTACAACGCAGTACGTGGAATTAAAACGGCGAATATTCTCTACGCAAAATGCGCCAATTATGTTCTACGTTGAATTAGAGCGGTCCGTCTACGCTCTACGTAGAATTAAAACGGCCGATTATGCTCTACGGAAAAGGGCATGCAGCCCCCCCCCCTTCCATGACCTCATGTCTTCGCTTCAGGGTCATTCGAGCTGATTGTGTCTTTAAGGGACCGTATGTTATTTACAGAGAGGGGAAGGTCCGGTGCGTGAGAAGTCAGATCAAAAAAAATTTTCCCGGCCCTCCCCCCATGCTAAATATTTTTTCCCTGGCCCTCACACCACACCACCCCCCTGAAAAAAATGTCCTTGGCCCTTTCCCCTTGTTGAAACATGAAAAGTCCCCCCAAAGCTATTCAAACATGCCCAAAAATGTCACAAATGTACCACTAAAACAACCATTGTGTACATGTATGTTTCTGTTAGCTATTCCTCCATCACAGCAGCCAGGCAGTATTGTACAGTATTGTACAATCAGTCATGTAACCTTGGTCCATCTCAATTCACTGGGTGAGGACTGAGGTCTTCTTCTTCTCGTGTCACCACTGCTACACTCTTCCCCTCCAATACTCCACGCATGCCCTTCCCCTGGGGGTCAGGGCTTCCAGGTCCTCCTTGATGCAGGATTGAGTTGAACACATAGAGGTGCACTCATCAATGAAAATGGCAACTTGACGAACAAGTTTCTGATCTGAACAGTTCATCTCTTTCTTCCAGCATAGTGCTCCATGGTGTGACCTTTCCTTATTCGCTTGTTTTGTATAATACAAACGTAGGTAAATCGCCTTAAGGCGTAACACATCTGGTGAGTTTTGTGCAGTTAGTACAAGTTGAATAAGATTGGATTGTAAATTTTGTCTGGTAGGGACCCTTACTCTTTTCAAAAAGTGTGGTGGAATCCTTAATATGCTCAAGGTGTGGCTCTCCTTTAAGGTGGCGCTGAGGTCACAGATCTCCAGCTTTACAACCCATCCTAGAGGATGTCTCTAACCAAAGCTGTGTCAATTGAGGAAGTCGGTGTTAAGTGCTATCCCCAAGGATACAACAGTGGGGCCTGCAAGGGATTTGAACCTAAAACCTTCAGATTCTGAGTCAACAACCCTAATCACAAGATCACCTTTTATTGATTGTTTTGTTTTCCTGCAGACTTGGTGCACTGGGCTGCATCAGATATCTCGTGGAAGGCATGACAAGTACGAACTTGACCAGGAGGACCGGGGACAAGAACAACGAGTGACGCCATGTCAGACGGCAGGACGTTTGTTTGTGGTCTGGTCTTTCGCTTGATCCTTCCCATCTTCCTGTTGGCAGGTAAGAACCTTCCCATATATCCACATGTATAGAACGTGATTCCATCTTAGGCCACACCAATTTATTTTGTTGCTTCTTGGATCGCCTGTCCATTAATGATTTTTTTCTGATTTGCAAAAAAAAAATTTGGGTCCTAAATTAACTGCAAAATGCTCAATGAAAGACATATTTTGGCCCCAACAGTGGGAAAAAGTCCTTTTCTTCCTAGTTCTTAAGTTTTTCAATGTAACAATACAATTTTATTTCATTAAAAGTTCAAAATCTATTGTTTTGATTACAAACCAGCCTGGTATGTTCAATCCATGGCTCATATTGTAACATTTCCTGCTATCATGGCATGCCTTGGCCTGTTTTTTTTTCTGAGAAACAACAAATTAAATTGGTGTGGCCTTATCAGCAATGTTGAGGTCAGTCTGCTTTTGTGCCTTTGTTTATTGTAATCTGAACCTTTGAGGTTTACAGAATCTGGAGTAAGACCATTATAGATGACATCTGCATGTGCATGAATTTACATCCTTTTCCAAAAACAAAAACAAAAAATTTCAACCATACTGTAAATTGACTTTTAATTGTACAAAGCAGCTGCAAAATGAGTAAACATATGCCGTAGATTGCAAAAAAATGTTGGAAAATGATACTAATGTCATGGAATTCCAAAATCAAGTCCGAAGGAAAAGAGGAAACTGTGAAGAAAGGTAAATTAGCTATAGGAGTATTATTCTCTATATCACACTCACTTGTTCAAAAAAGCTTTCATATTGAAGGCAACTTTTTTTTGCCAAACTGTTTTTTTTTTTATTCGATGCATGGCCTTTGATGTCTTTACCTGTACTCAACTGACTTGGACCCCAGTAAAACTAAAGCCATCATGTGCCCAAACTCATGTGTCATTCCTGCAAGAGAATGGTATTCTTAGAGCAAGATACCTACTCTAAGGGCAAGAAAATGTTCTGGGTGTAAGATTACTTAGTACTAGTCCTAGGGGGAGAATGGTATTTTTGGTACAAGAATAAAACAAGATACCTAATCTTAACCCTTGTCCTGCTGGCAACACAATATTTTCAAATAATTTCATGTCTTAATCAGGTTACAGACCCTTGACTTTTTTTTAACCCTACGGCGCTGTAGTTACTTTCGCATTCGTTGCGTTTCGCTGCGGTGTGATGCGTTGCACGAGAAACACCCCCAAATCGCACATATACAGGGCACTATATAGATGGTACTGTATGTACAACCCATATATATGTATGGGCCCCGCAGGACAAGGGGTAAGGGCAAGAAAATGTTCTGGGTGTAAGGTTTCTAGTCCTAGGGGTAGAATGGTATTCTTGGTACAAGAAATCTCTAACTTAAGGCCAGAAAAATATTCTGGGTGTAAGTTTACTGGAGATTGATATTCTTACAGCAAGAACAAATTCTTAAGAGCAAGAAAAACTTTCTGGACACAAGAGTGCTTGTCTTAGAGGGAGAACTGTATTTTTGGTGCAAGAACCTTCATCTTATAAGTGCAAGAAAAACATTTTGTGTGTAAAATTAATAATCTCATGGGAAGAATGGTAACTTAGAAATTCTTACTGCAAGAACAATATTCTAAGGGTATCTAGTTCAAGATACATCAGAAAAGAAATCTTACCACAAGAAAAATATGCTAAAATGCAGTTTCTTGAAATTTTTCTCTCATGGACAAGATTTTTTTCTTGGGTGAAGAATAATTTTCTCAGTGGAAGAAAATTTTTCTTCTCTGAAGAAAAACAAGATTGGCATTTTTGGTAGTGTGGGTATGAGCGTAACTCCTTTTTGACTCCTTTTTGAACCTTAATATCATATGGCAACGGCATGAAGTCGTGGCACTCTTATTATTCCAGTTTCCATTTGTTATTTTGTGTAATTCTTTTCAGAGCTCAAGATTAATTGCTAATAGCTATACTATGTACATTTAATGCTAAAAGTATAATACACTTTCTCTGCAAATTGATAAATGAAAAAAATCCTATTTTGTATCATTACACAAAAGTAATTCACTCAAAATGGGATTTTTATCATTTGATTATTTGATAGTGAGTAGAAAATACACACGCGCATGCATCTACACTAAGTCTTATATCTGTATTTTTAAGGCAACAACCTGTATTGACTAATGTACAGCATTGAATAATCTATGAAGCATCCTTTTGTTATGTCGTTATTTTGCCTGAGTGAATTGCATGTATGCTAAGGCAGGTGGCTGCATGGGCATATGTAGAATTTATCAGCACACTGATGCGTGAAATTAAGCATGCATGTATACATGTATATGTCCAGGGCTCGAAATACTGGGCGCATGTGCACCTTAGTGCACCCAAATTTGGAGCTGTGCACCCAATTCTTTTCTGTGGGTGTACCAGTGCACCCTAACATTTTTGTAGGTTTACAAATGTACAATATACAGCATATTCTTAACAATTAAGTGTCAGAAAATCAATCTTGTACTACTCTTTAGAAATGCACATACATTTGTATATGTTGTAATTAGTGTTTGCAGACACTCTCAATCTCATTTTATACGGTGTACCAAAAAAATATTTTGTTCACCCAATTTTTTTAGTTTGGGTGCACCAGTGCACCTATTCTCAAAAATGAATTTCGAGCCCTGAAGTGTAAGAGTCCGAAATACTTATATCTGCTTACCTGCTCCAGTGCACGGGTAACACAGTCAAAATTATATACATGACATAGTACTTGTACCTGCAAATTATACCTGCACCACATTATTACCTTCGCCAAGAAGGTAACATGTTTTCAGTAGCGTTTGTGTGACTGTGTGTGTGTGTGTTTGTGGTTTAGCAAGGTAACTCGAGAAGCAGTGGATGGATTAGAATGAAACTTGGTAGGTGGGTAGGTCTTCATGAGACATAGAAATGATTAGATTTTGGGCCCCCTGGCGGCTTTCCTAGGTACTGCAGCTGAACTTCCAGTTTTGATATCTCATGTTCTGGACATGCTAGGGTCACGAATTTTGGTTGGGAGATAGCTCTTTGGGTAGGGAAGAAGTGACATGAGTTTGGGTCCCCTAGCGCATTGTCCTGGAACTGCAGGAGCATTTGTTGAAAATAATTTGAAGGACGATAACTCAAGAACCGGTTGACGTATTGTCGTGATTTTTGGTATGTAAGTAGTTGAAGTGATGCTTGACATAATCAGATGGCAATTATGCAAATCAGGAGCTAATTTGCATAATTAATTAGGAAATTCTATAAATCTGCTTTGTTCGATAAAAGAACTATGAAACACTTGTGACATCTACTTGAGAACGAGAAAAACATCTGAGGATATAGATTATGTAAATGATGGCCTAATTTGCATAATTAATGGCAAATTTTTATAATTCCATAGTTGTATACTGCTGCACCCCGAATTTCATACTTGCCACATTTGGAAGTCAAGTGAAGGTGAACATCAATGAACATAATTTATTCAAATCGACCTTATTTGCATAATTTATGAGGAAGTGCTATAATAGCCTTTTTGTTATGATAAGGCTGTCATTGGATGGAGAATATGATCAACTGATATAATCCATGCAAATGAGGCTCTTATTTACAAAATCACTGATTAAAATTGTATAATTCGTCACCCACAAGGGTTAACATCATTTGGCGAAGGTATGAGGTCGTGGAACTCTTGTTTTGTTTGGAATTCCAATGATTAAAAAATGTTTTGATAATGTTCCAAATACCATTTTAAATCTTTTTATCTCATGAAGAACATTATTGCATGACAATCGTACTTGAACGGCAACAACTAATTGAACAGTCAACATGGATATACGTACATAAGATGTCTAATTGTGACAGAAGATGTAGTAAAAGTATCCTTATCTCAAAGGCTAAAATAACATGATTGAAAATGAGCATCATTTTATAATGGATTGTACACTCAGTCTATACAATGATAAGCGTCTATTGCTGTTAACCTTTCTTTCCGCGCTTGTTCAATTGATTTCAATATGTTAGATCTTATAGATAAATGCTACTATATTCTCAGGGGAGATAACCAATACAGTTTTCAAATAGGAAAATACATTAAAGAATGTTTCGAGCTTTAAGGGAACACATGTTAGAGAATAGTTAACCTTTATTGTTACATCATACATATACTCTGTACGTAAGATGACGTTATCCACACATGTATTTATCTTATCTGTATCTATCTGTTAGATCTTTAGTTACTTTAATGTAGAAGACCATACAAATGTCTCTGTACCTTTTTTGTTGTGTCAATAAAGAATCTCTAAAATCCTGTTTTTCCTCTGCAGCATGTGTGTTCCGGTTCAATGGGCTGTCCCTAGTGTACGCATGCTGCCTGCTGCTCCTGCCACACCTGGACACACCTTCTGTCAAGTCTATGAAAGGTAAAAACAGCAACGATACTCACATTGTAGTGTATAAAAGATAACCTTGACAATCATGTATATATATGAGCAAGTACTGTATATTTCACTCCCTTTCCATCCCCATGCAAAAATGAACTGTTCCAAATTAACCAGTTGTAGAAATGGACTGACCCAAAGTTGGTACTGTTCATACAATGTGCATGGACTGTCCCAACATCGATCACCCCCACTTTAAAATGGAATTATGAAAAAAGCAACCCCCTTGCAACAGTACTAGTGGACTCTTCCCAAAATATCCCAATGCAAATTGGGCTCCATTACACAGGCAGCACCATATAGGTAAACATAATTGGTAATAAAATGATGATGCCACAACATTTAAAATATTAGATTTCTAAAATACCAAATATGAATAAATATAATGAAAATAATTATAATAATGTAGGCAGCTAAGGGTCTAAGAATGATCCACTATACAGAGATGTGCTGTTCTCACTCACATTCTGTCCGTGAGCTGTGTTGTACAGCCTGTGAGATGTGCTGTTCTCACTCTCATTCTGTCCGTGAGCTGTGTTGTACAGCCTGTGAGATGTGCTGTTCTCACTCTTATTCTGTCCGTGAGCTGTGTTGTACAGCCTGTGAGATGTGCTGTTCTCACTCTCATTCTGTCCGTGAGCTGTGTTGTACAGCCTGTGGGATGTGCTGTTCTCACTCTCATTCTGTCCGTGAGCTGTGTTGTACAGCCTATGAGATGTGCTGTCCTCAGCACCAGTGTGCTGTGAGCCACTCCTGTACAGCGCCCCACTGACACTTGGGACCTCCTTCCCCTGGTCCATTCCGTAAGGACCCCTGCTGTCTCTTGATGACGGACAGCCTCTTTCATATTTTGGCTTGATGTTGGCCTCTTTTGGCAGTGACTGGCCCCTTGGTTGGGTGACTGGTTGTTCGACTTTGTTGTCCGTTGGTTAGTGCCATTTGTCAGTGATGTATAACCTGCTAGTGCATGGTCTCTTGGCAGTGACTGGCCCCTTGGTTGGGTGACTGGTTGTGTGACATTTGTTGTCCGTTGGTTAGTGACATTTGTCAGTGATGTATAACCTGCTAGTGTATGGCCTCGTGGCAGTGACTGGCTCCTTGGTTGGGTGACTGGTTGAGTGGTGCTTGTGGTCCGTTGGTTAGTGACATTCGTCAGTGACATATAACCTGCTCTTGTATGGTCTCTTGGCAGTGACTTAACCCTTGGTTGGGTGAATGGATGCGTGACGTTTGTTGTCAGTTGCAGCCCTGGGTCTTCATCGTGGGTCACTGCATATGGCTGAAGCTGTGGCCCTGGGTCTTCATCTTGGGTCACGGAATATGGCTGAAGCTGTGGCCCTGGGTCTTCATCATAGGTCACTGCATATGGCTGAAGCTGTGGCCCTGGGTCTTCATCGTGGGTCACTGCATACGGCTGAAGCTGTGGCCCTGGGTCTTCATCCTGGGTCACGGAATATGGCTGAAGCTGTAGACCTGGGTCTTCATTAATGAAGGTCGTTGCATACGGCGCAAGATTGCCGTTTTTTCCTTTCCCAGACACATCCATGTATGACACCGCGTACGGCTCAATGTCATCGTTGTCTTCACTTGGCTGGATGTCATCGTTGTCTAGTTCCGTTAGCTTGATGTTAGCAAAGGAAGTTGTTGCGTACGGTGCAAGCTTGCCGTTTTTCCCTTTCCCAGACACATCCATGTATGACACTGCGTACGGCTCAATGTCATCGTTGTCTTCAATTGGCTGGATGTCATCGTTGTCTAGTTCCATTGGCTTGATGTTAGCAAAGGAAGTTGTTGCGTATGGAGCAAGCTTGCCGTTTTTCCCTTCCCTGACACATCCATGTATGACACAGCGTACGGCTCAATGTCATTGTCACCCTCGGATGTCTGGTCCTCAACAGGACTCTGTTGTCTGCCTGTGACTGAGTCTCTGTCCGAAGGGGTGGAGTTTCCATCTGGTTCAGCGGGGGCGTTGTTAGGGGCCAGACCTGTGCTGTGACAGCGTTCGTAGAAGCAGACGACAACCACCCATACCAACACCATGAGGACTGGCACAGCAACAGCCACAATGACGGCATTGACGTGGTAACCGTCATCTTCTTCAGTGAGGATTGGGCCAAAACTTGGACGAGTGACGATGTCAGCTCCGGTTGTTGCCTGGCTTGTTGTAGCCTGGTACTCTGAGTCTGGCGTGGTGTTTGTGTGCTGCATCTCTGTGGGAATGGTGTCGTTGTATAGGTAGCTGGTATGGTGGGTATGCGGACCTGTTGTGGTGGAGGTGTCATCACATCTCCCCAATCTGATGTCCTTCCTCACGGTGGCAAGCAGAATTCCGCTCAGGTTGGCAGGTGACGCACACGCCAGGAAGTCACGGCCAAAGATGTGATTCAACTCTGGCAGATGACAGATGAACCAGGTGAGATTCGCATCACATTTCAGCTGGTTTTTTTCTAACGTAAGCTGCAGGGTCTGGTTGTGGCTCAGACGCAGGACTTGGCTGTCGATCGTGGTGATGTGGTTTGTTTTCAGGCTTACAACCTTCAGTGCTGGAAGCGGCAGGAGTGCGTCGACGGGCACAGAGTACAGACAGTTATTGTTCAACATCAACGTCTCAAGGAGAAGTAGGCCTCGGAATGCATGCTGGGATATGACGGAAATGGCATTTCTTTCGAGGTACAGTCTTGTTACCCTCTCAAGCCCAAGGAAGGTATCAGGTTCTGAGGATATATAAAACAGAATATTATAAATTATTTGCAGGGATTTTTCTTGGTATAATTGATTATGAAGATGATGGCAACAAATACAACATAAATTTGTACCAGATCGAGCTGAATATCATATAGAATACAACACGGGGTATTCCGTATCACCCGAGGTACCTGAATTGCTAGGATCTAAAATGTTACTGGGTTCTCCTTAGCGGGAGTTGTTTATTGTTTTGATTGGTAAAACGCAGGGTAAATACGCTAAAAATTTAGCGTGGGTACAAGAAAACCCACGCCGAGGTCCGTACTTCTGGGTAAAGCGCACACCAAAATCACGTCGAAAACGCCAAAAATCCGCATAAAAATATATACTTAGTATTTTCTCGAAAGATTCTATGCATTTACGTCGATGAAGGTTAGACATCCAGGTAATACGATATGCCAAAAAACAGTTACTCAAGCAACTGGATATGATTTTGAAAACGTCAGACGTTTCAGCTAGTATCCACTAGCTTTCGTCAGTGACTGAGAGACCAGAGGGGAAAGCAGGTTTATATACACAACCTGTTGATTGATATGCAAATAAAGTGAAGACAAATTTTTTTGGAAGTCGAAAAAGGAACAAAGGTCAGACAAGTCAAGACAAGATGATGCAAATTAGTCTGAAAGCTCCTGTATTACAGGACAGGAGCTTAAGTGTT